ATCTGCATGTATAATATACAAAGAAGAGAGTCCTTAAATATTATTTAAATATATTTATTTAATATATTTAAATATATATTTATAAATCCTTCTATTACTTTTGAAGATACAAAATTTAGATTAGAACGTGTACAAACCTGATCGCAATGACTTCGAACAGTGACAATACATTCTACCAATGTGCTTAGCGTGACCTTTGGCACAAACAGCTGCTGAGATAAGTGCGATGTTAAATGCTTCACTTCCTGACTGCACCATACAACTAAGCCTTAAACAACAAGTAAATAAAATTAATTCATTATTCGATTATGGAACGTTTGCGGATCTTGATGATCTCTAAATTACCCGAAGTGCAATTTGTAGATTTTGGAAAGGTTTTCAGAAATTCTCTCGCTATTTCAACTATATTGCTAAAGGCGATCGCACTAATCTGTTTCACATAGGCCACGATCGTGCCCTCTTCTTTGATTCTCTCCAGTCGCGCCTTCAGCACCGCGCTGCATAATCGTAGATACAAGTGGCACGCTTGTGCGCTTCTGTTTAGCTGTATAAGGAGTTTTACCGCACGTCGAGCGCTTCTCAGACCGCCGCCCTGTAGCGACTTCGCTTCTGCGCTTAACTCCAATTCTTTAGTCAATACGTTCACCAGCGAGCAGCCTCTCTCGTTCACCTTCATCTGAATCTCTGTCAATAGCGGTGTCGATTGAGCGTCCTTCAAATAAATTTTCGCTTTCTCTAATAAACCGTAAGCCTCCTCGAAGTGACGTTGTGCTATGCAGGAATCTAGATCCTCAGCTACTTCCAGCACCCACTCCGGCAGCGGTTCGTAGTACTCCGAGTCATCGTCGTCTTCCATTCCTAGGGATAATTTAAAATGACTGTAAAAATACCTGATAAAAAAAAACTCAACAAAAAGGATTAATGTCTGTTTCTTCCAACACAGATTAACTCTTAATCTCGGTTCAGCTTGACTCACCGTTTTTTAATTCTTAGAATTAGAACAAGATGAAGAATAAATTGAATCAAGATTGAAGTTAATTTATATTGGTAGAAAATGATATAAAATGAATAAAAATAGGATATATAGTATATGAATAACAAAGAATACTTATAAAATGCAGAATCATTTCTATTTGCAAATTTTACCTAACGTATTCGACTCCAAAGACATCGAACGAGATGGCACCGCTTTGTCCTCCTTCGGATGCTTATCGTTTTCCGGTGCATTGACTGAATTCTCCTCCATCAGTTTTGTTCTTTTCGCTTGCTCGCATTTATCTAACCACTCTTTCTACAAAGTAAATAGATTCAAATAATACCCCTTCGTGATTTGCGGATTTCTTTTCAAACACACTAACTTTACTTGTTGCTGTGGCACACTGAAACACCCTCGTGTCGGAAAATGCCAGCAACTTGAACGCCAACTTCACAGTACCGTGATCCCTCACGTTGACGATCGCCAGGCTTTCTAGATTATAAACTGCTTGCATTTTGTACCTAGGCGGGCCGCGTCTGCCACCGTTCGCCAGCCAAGACGCAACCATTAGAACATCATTGAATAAATATGCGTGAATTCTTTTTAACGGTGTACCGTCGATCGGATCTAACTCGAGTAAGGAACCTTCGTGTAAACACACACGTCCTGGAGTCTCAGCTAAGCTCTGCAAAAAGAGAAACAAGAAAAGGAGTAAAGTATCAACTAAATCTAATAAAGCTGCATCTTTTTAGTTGAACTGCTTTAGCTGAACTTTTGTACTGTTAATTTTTTCTCTTTTTTTTTCCAACACGAAGAGAAAAAGACAAAAGATAAACCATTCAAGAAGTTCTGCTGAAAAGAACCGTTCCTTATAGCTCCTTATATATTTCACTTATTAATACTAACCAAGGCACCTTCCACGTTTTCAATCAGTTGAATGAGTTTCTGTTTTTGCTCTTCCTCTTTGGACATAGAATCAATCAAATTTTCCTGCTGTGACTCAGGCAAATCCTCAAAAACAACGCCGGTTGTTCTGGTAGAGCCTAGAGTACTCAACAAAGCACGCTGTTCGCTCAGAAGCTGAGACAACTGATACATCTCGCTCTCCAAATGTGAGATCTCTTTGGCAGTCTCGATAAACTGCATGTAGTTCTGGTAGACATTCCGTTTCAGTTGAGCAGATGTATTGTTTGCCAGTTCCTGGATTTTTGCACGTTGCTGCCTCAATTCGTCTGCACCAATACATTGTGCACTCAGCTCCTTCACAACTGTAAGAACAAAAATAGTTATAATAGATGAATACTAATCTTATTGTTTTTATGTGTTTCCTTATTATTTTCCAATTTTATATGTAATTAATTAATAAATTACTACCTATGTTGAACTTAAGAGAAAGAGAGAAAAAGAAAGAATATAAGAAAGAATATAACATAATTCTGAATATCTTATCAAGTACCAGAGATTGATAAAATATTAATTTTTAAATATATTTTTATATTTATTTTCAATTCTATACATAATTAATTAGCAAATTAACTATTTGTCGGATTAAAAAAAGCGAAAAGATACAGTATAGATCCTGAACATCTCGTAAAGTATCAGAGATTGATAAAATATACGATTAATTTTAAAAATATATTTTCATATGTATCTATATATTTTGTATATTTTTATATTTGTCTCCAATTTTACGTAATTAATTAATAAATTAATTATTTATATCGATATATTATCGAACTAAAAAGAAAGGCATAGTACAGTGTAAAACCTAAATATCTTATCGAATATTATAAATTGAAAACAAAGTACGACCGATCGCATGATTTTTTTTAAATCACCAATTTTTCATATTTTCGAACATGGTATGCTTACTCAATAACTCACATTTCTCTGGGTTAAAATCCTCAGCTGCAAAAACCTTCGACAGGTTATTATCGGCCATTGCGAGAAAATCGTCGTCCGAGGGCGAGTATTTTTACTATCGTCAACAATACAAACTGCGTGCCTCTGTCATGTTACATTTCTGTCGAATCCCTTCGTCGTCACCTGTTACAAATAAATTAACATGATTCGCGTTGGTTTACACCTCCGCCCCGATCTAACCTCGCTTGGCGTGTATCGTGTATCCCAATTCCCACATCCCACACCGCCGAAAGAATGACCGAGTGATTGGTAATGTCGGAATTCTTAGTTATCTTCTGGCATTTGATTATCGACTGCACTTAGGTTAGGTTTACCAATGCATGGTAAACAAAAGCCAAAAGTGGTTTATGTCTAAAATATATTTATAAACTTTAAAGTATAATTTTGTTTAGCTTTTTCCAATTTATATAATTTATAATTATGCCCGTTTCTACTAACATAAATTAATATCTAACTTTTTTTTTAAAGATTTTTTTAAGAATTTCCAAGAAATTCTAAGAATTTAAGAAAACGATTATAAGGATAAATTAAACCGAAATAAAACTTAATCTACAATTAGAAAGATATAAAGAATAAATTGAATCAAGATTAAAATGATATAATTTATTTATATTAGCATTACTTGAGGATCTTTATTACTGACAAATAGCATCTTGTCAAACTTATCAAGTTACCAAGTGAGCGTCCTTAAACACAACATATCTTAAATAACGCTGTTATGAGTTACTTCTATTTTATATATATTTATATATCTGATTGTGAGAAATTAGAGCTCAAAAATGCAAAATATTTAATTCATACTCGAGAAATATTTAATTAACATTTTTTACGATTATAAAAACGATATTTATAGATAAATTTTAGGTGAAACCGATCGATCTCCAGTATCTTATAAGGACAAGTCGCAAGTACTCTTTCAGCTGGGAGCGTGGCGGCTCCTGTAATCCGGCTACTCGGAGGCTGGTTATGTCGGAGGGTCTGAGGTCGGGGGTTCCTGCTGGTGCGGGACTCACGTTGACTGGGCGTCCGCACTAAGCTCGCCATCAATATGGACACCCTGGAGGAGTCCGGGGTGGCCAGGTTAGCTAAGGAGAGGCGAACCGGGCCAGAGGGGAAACCCAGCAGCCAAAAGTCTCCGTGGCGGGCAGTAGTGGGATCGCGCCCGGGAGTGGGACCGCATTGACAGCCTGGTTGATATGATCCGACACATAACTTTTTGCATTTTTTTTTTCAATTTTCCAACAATCCCCAAAGCCTTCTCATGCATTTTCACCAAAAATCTGATTTTTTCAACATACTTTTTGATGTATTTTTTTTAATACACATAACATACATTCCGATATCCATGACAAATTTAAAGGCAAAGTTCGAATTGGTGCTCCTTTTCTTAAAATATTGTCCATTTTTAGTCTTCGGGAATTATATTGATTTATTATTGCATGTCTTTATTAAAAAATTAAAAATTAAAAAGGATAGAAAGAGTTAAAATTTAAGGTCTGTTTCTTTATTCTTGTACTAGACTGTGCGAGAGAGAGAGAGAGAGAGAGAGAGAACTCTTTCTTGCTTTCACCAAGTATCAAACATATACCTATTTCATTTTAAATTTCAAATGTATACACTAGTTCAACCACAGAAAACTCTTAGTATTCTAAAGAAAGAGAAGTTAACATCTCAGTTTTTATGTTTACTGAATATATTTTAATATTTTTGTTATATATTAATTAAAAAAACTAACTAGTACTATATAGATATTTAATTTATATTAAAATAGAAAATATTATTAAAAATTAAATTTTACATAATCCATAATTCATATTTCAGGATAGAATTCTATTAATAAACTTACAAGCCTATATTTCGACGTGTCTTTAAATACTTATGTATTTATAAGTCTTCAAATATTTTTAATTTGTTGTATATTAATTCAAAAATCAACTGGTATTATATTTCGATGTATTTTTTAATTAATGTGTATGCATTTATGGGTCTTCAATCATTTTTGTGTATTAACAGTATAAGTAATTGAATCAAATTCTATTCCAAATTTTAACACAAATTATAGACTTATAATTAATCTAAAATGAACCTTAGGCAATTATAATTATTCAAAATCACATCGATTATGCTAATGAGATGAGAACATGGGAAATTGTAAGAAGTATAACATGTGATACATATTTATGGAAAAACTTTTAATTCTATCGTAACCGTTGTTTTGTAATGAAGATGATAATGTTGTCATTGTAAGGATTCACTCCTGCGACAAGGAAATAATTTATAGTACATATATAAACACTTGAGTTGTATGTATATCAATTTTTTCAATATATCTGGTACAATAAACTTTGTCACCACAGGATTAATCTTCTTATTTAACATAAATTTCTACGATTTCTGCTTTTCTTTCTTCGCCTGCTCCGCCAGTGCTTCTAATCGGTCATGTTCCGCGATTAAGGCGTTCACTTCATTCGCTGGCAGTATTTTCGTTTTTGTTTTACCATCTTCGCGCGTCAGTATCGCCATTTCCACTGTAAGTAAAAGAAGTGAACGTACATCAGTAACTTTGTTACAAACTATGACAAAATGTGTTTAATAACGAATTTGGGACACACTGATATTAAAACTATTGTTGTATACATTTTTATGTCAACACAGATTTATATAAAAGTATATATAATATAAATATATAAATGTGTTAAATCTTTAATCAATACATTTTATTCTATCGTTAGGTAAAGTATATTTCACAATTCCAAATATTTATATTTCACTGTATGCGTTCAATTGAATTCATTAAAAGATTATGTTTACAATCTCATCAACTTATGTCCACTTTTATGAATGAAGATTAACTTTAATCTTGTTCAACTTATTTTCTATCTTTTTTAAAAATTAGAAAAAGAGTAAATTAAATCAAGATTGAAATTAATCTACATTCGTAGAAAGAGATTAAAATCAATTGCTCTAATTTAGATTTAAATAAAAATTTACCCTTTTCAGCAGTGAGTTTATTCATGTCTAACGTTTTAGAGAGCACTTTGATAGCAAGTGCCATTGCGTCTTTCAGAGTTGTCTCGCCCTCTTTGTATTCCTGCTTCAAAGATGACACAGCTGCTGCTGAATTATTCCCGATACATGTTGCTTTCCAGCCACCATAGTTTCCACTAGGATCTGACTGATACAACTGATAGCCGTAGTATTTGTCCCATCCCATGTATAAGATAGATACACCAAAAGGTCTCTTTCCACCATATTGAGTATATGCCTGTTTAACATCGCATAACCAGGAGACAAGCTGCTCGCAAGGTATAGCTTCGCCGTACTGAAGAAGGTATCTCTGTGCGATAAGACGCAACTCGTTCGTCAGGACATTCGCGTCCGAAGTTATACCAGCCACTGAACAAACTATATCGTTGTTCAACTTGTAGATTTTTTCGGAGAAGAATACCTCGTCCAGCAACTTGTTGGTGTTACGTTTCTCAGCTGCCAGTAGAATACCATCGTTTGCTAATATACCTAGGCAAGTGCCGGCATGGCTTATAGCCTCCATAGCATATTCGACTTGGTACAGTCTTCCTTCTGGCGAGAAAATTGTGGTACGTGTATCATATCTGCGTGCCTGTAAAATATATAACAAGTTAATAGTGAATTAATTACGATAAAGAATTCAAATTTTTTTAATTTTTATCAAAATTTCTATTAATGTTTCAATTTTCATTTTATCCCAAATATAAACGAGCAAATATGAGTAAAATAAAATCATTATAAGATCAAAAGATTTATTTAAGTAAAAGAAAGTCTCTAATGTGTACATTCTTTTATATTTTGCTAAGAGTGTCAGAACTTTAAATCAAATAAATTGACGTGATTTCAACATTCTATGCTTTAAATATGTGCCTTATTAAATAATTACACGATAATTACACTTATGATCCATTTATATTTTAAAATTATGATAAATGTTAGTCTTGATGACAATGCATTTCCCGCATAACCTAGAAGCAACGACAGTATCCAAGGTATTTCGAAGAACTGACTTCAGAACTGAATAAATGTAATATTGAGCTGCAATGAGACTCGTCAACTTACCATTTTGAAAGTAGTTTTATGTTATTAAAATGTCTTAGTCGTATCAAGAAAATGCCGCTCGCAAATTCAACAGTACCCGACAACCTTAAATCTGACACTTCGACTCGAAGAATGATTAGCAGGTTAATCGGTACAACTGTTTTCGATTACTCGAAAGTCGCCATGAAAAATCGACAAGTATCGCTATGGTAATCTTAAAATCGATATAAATACCGCAGTAATACAAAATAAACAATGCAATCATTATTTTTCAAATATACAATTTTATCTCATTTTCTTCTATTCATTTTTTTTATATTTTACAACTTATGAGAGTGGGCGAAGACTTCAAGATGCAAAGAGGATGAGTTAAATATTTTTTAATTATACATAATAATACTCTTCAATAACATCATTAAAATTTATTTTTTTATTAGACTCAATACATGAATAGAAAATAAATCGAAAATCATAGAAGTTAACATTCAGATTACTTAGAGATCCAAATTATGTATATAAGCCATATAAGGTAGATATTTTGTATAGTTATACAAATGTTAATCAGTAACGTTGCAGTAATCAAACTAAAGATGCAACTTTCTTTTTCTTCATCTTAATCTTATAAACTTAACAAATATATAGACAGAAGTAACTTTATAATATCTTGGTTGCGGTCGATTTAAATATTTTCAGTGCTTTTCAGTACTTCTATCCTTATTTCTCTAATAAACGATAAAGACAAAATGATTACAAACGCTTAAAGCGCATAAGCGTCCAAATCGAACGCAATATATAATCGAGCGCCTTTATATAACTGATATATGGATTTATATAAACATGTATACGTTTGTTAAACTATTTTCTATTATATACAGAATGTTTTGGACAATAGATAAGAAAAAAAACTTAAGAAATAATTTTAATTTGATAAAATAAGATGGAAATCGAAAGAATAATACCATGATCTTAAGGCTTGATTTAATTGTAAATGTTCAAATATTTACGTAAGTGTTTGAAGTACGCATAAACAGTTTGTCATTATAAATGTAAATTTAAAGTAAAATGCTTGAAAATTCATAAATAGAACGTACTGTAAATTTATTAACTTTTTCATTTAGAATAACTCTTTCTATTTTCTCCTATTTGTTGCCGAACATTCTGACATAAGCTTTTTTTTGTAACATATATAAGCCTTTCTTATTTGTACATACACATATGAGAAAATAGATATTTGTCAGTAATTAAGAGCTCACAGCATTATTTTTCGTAATTGTACTGTAGTGGTGTGCTTAGTACCTATACTATAATAAGGATTACTATAAAGATTATATGAAACATGTAGTGATGATTTAAAAGAAACGATTATGTTGCTCCAAACGATATATAATTGTTATCAATCAATTGTCATCAATGTGAGAAATAATTACTTTCTTAAAGCCATCTGATCACGAAGTTCTTTCAGGTCTTTCAGTTGTTGACTCACTCGTGCGCTCTCCACGGCAGCAGTACTCTGAATATCGTTTAAATAAGCTAATCGTTCAGTGAATTGATTGAATATCTCGTCCAGTACTGGTCCTTTTTCATCAAAATTTTTAGTGATTTGATTAGTCTTCACAGTGTCATTCATAAACTGTTCCTTGGCACTTGATTCATCTTTCAATAAAGCTAGAAGTGTATCGGTAACTCGTTCATTAGACATATTCGAAGTGTTTGCAATGCATTCGTCTCTTGCTTTCTTCATATCAACATTGAACAGTTTCGAAGTTGCATCCATTTCAATTTTTTTATTTCCTACTTTTGTTTTTTTCTCTTTTTGATTTCGATTAGAAATTGAAAAATTTCCATTTTCTCTGGTAACTTGCTGGAAATAATCTTTTAAGGAAATTGCCTAAAAATAAGTAATTAAAAGATTGAAAAAGGATACACTTATATATCATTCATTTACAATCAAGTTTAATCAAATGTTTGTATATGTAAAAACATAATATATTACCGAGTCAGTGTTACGTAGAGACTGTTCTAATTGCTTAATCTCATCATCTTTAGGAGCTAATTCATCATATAACATTCTGTTGAATGAACTATTATGAAAGTTAGGAACAAAGTTAGCACAAGCACCTGCATTATCATCGTAATCGTGTTTTTCATCTTCATGTATTTTCATTTCATCAAAATCTTTTTGTAAAATGTCTGTGGATGCTGCAGTAGCTTGTGCCGCTGCAGTAGCTTGTGACGTTACAGTAGTTTGTGACGCTGCAGTATCTTCTGAAGTTACAGTAGCGTCGTAACGAGGAGGACGTAATGGACGTAATGGTACCTCATGAGTCTGAAATTACAACAGAAAGAATACTTACATAATTATATCACAATATAATGTGATCACAACGTTATTTATTTAATCCTCAACTACAGAAATAGATTATTTGGACTTAAAGCAAAATATTTTTCTTTCTAAATTGTAGGTATAAAAAACTTGAACTTCCTCTATCAGTCGCCATAAAGATTCACTTGCATTCTGTGCACTTCAAATAGGACACTTTAAAACTTAAGTGTAATTTTCACAATTATAGTTAAAGGTTAAATATATACATATATTCAAAAATTATATATTAAGTTTGCATGATATGTATTTTACCGCGTTCACAGACTCCAAGACTGTGCTCACAGAATGAAACCCTCTGAGATTTGCTATACGTCTTCGTTCATTGTCCCTAAATTTCTTTTTCTCTGATTTTGACAATCCAGACACACATCGAATCACTGATTTTTTTGCCGAAACTTCCATCGGATCGTAAGGCGGAACTTCTGGGTCCTGTCAAACAAAATATACAAGTTATGTAATATAAATCAGTATAAGTTTACATTAGCTAATTGTTACTTATATTTCACACCTCTTCCCAATTTTCATTTAAGTACAAGCTACCAGGAGGATCTGGATCTCTTACTTCAATGTTTTTAATATCCATATCTGCCGCTCTTCCAATACTAGAACACATTTCAATGTGCTCCTACAAGATTGAATAAAATTTAATAACAGGAAAAACAGAAAGTTGTAAGATATGCCACTTTAAAACATATTACAATACATTTGAATATATATACCCTGAGAAAGTTCTGGTCTACAATATGAGTCTTGTTCAATGGACACTCTACCATGTTTTCCTTTTTATTATATTTTTTGCATTTCGATATATGATTCATAAGTTTATATCTGCGAATACGATGCGCTGGATTGTAGGGGCAAGAAACTATGATGTCCGCGTCTGCCATTTTTAGAATCTAATTCTATAAATTATAATATCAATTATTAAAAAGCTACTGTATTTTTTTCGTCATTATTAGTATAAGAGATTCTAGAAAAAACATGAAACAAAGCATTTGAAAAAAAGCTGTGTTGACAATTTTAAAGGTAAAATGGAAAAAAATTCTCAGTCTTTTATTCTTAGATTTGGAACAGTATAGTGGTTATAAAATTACCTATTTCAATAGTAAATTTTTTATGAAATAATTAAAGCATTCAATATAGACCAGAAAATAACTTGATCCCTTTTCAAACAAAATTTCACGAACATTTTATGGTCAAACAAGAACATGTATTCTTGTTCTTATATATTGCTAATAACAAGCTAGATTAAGCTCTCTATATCAAGTAAAATTACAATGTTTATGAGAAAAGAGGCAAGTATAATATACATAACAAAATTAATTTCTTAACTTTGAAATTTCATCCTTTGTTTACAATCTAATCTTTGAACTTCAGTGTAGATTTTCATATTATTCTAGATTATATAGAAATCTGGAAAAATTCCTACATGTGAATGCTTTAACGAGTTTGTACTATAATAGAAGTTAAATTTCACTTTATTTATTTTTTACAGATTTAAATGTAGCTATCAGAATCCACGATCAAAAAATCAACTGTATTTTTGAAGTCCCACATTGCCAGTGGAAAGTTAAATAATCAATTAAATAATTATATATTCAAATAATATCTAGTTTTGTCTTCTTTATCAGTCAATCATCACATATTGCAGCTTGTATGAATGTGTTTGTCTAATAGGAATTTTAACATTTAGTTCTCTAATCATTATATAAATCAAACAAAATTTATTTAGTTAATTATTTAATATTTAGTTAATTATTTCCACTGGCAATGTAACTTTAAAAATACAGTTGATTTTTTGATCGTGGATTCTGATAGCTAAATTTAAATTTGTAAAAAATAAATAAAGTGCAAATTCCTGACAATGTTTACATCTTATATTCACTTTCACATAGACCTATTTTTTATTGTTAAACTAATATAAACTTTTGGAAATTAAAGTAAGGTATTTGGTGAAAGCGAGGAAAAAAGTTTTAGTGCAGGAATAGAAATCAAGGTATTCTTTTTTTATATTCCAGGATTGAACTTATAGGGTTTATTTTTTTCACACTGGAGAGAAAAAATGACAAAAGATGAACTGTGCAAAAAGTTCAGTCCCGAGCATCTATTATATGGAACAAGTCGGAATGGATTCCGATTAGAATTATTTCGTTCTCTAAAAAATATAATAGAAGTCTAGGAAATAATTGAATAATTCCGATCGGAAAATGCATTCCAAATAGTTTTATAATACATGCCCTGGAATACGGAAAAAGAACAGACCTCTAATCTATGAACAATAAAAGAAATGCGTCACAGAGGTACTGTTCGACATATACACAGTAAAGACTTCTTTTTCTTTATATCAAATTTTTTACCCACCGAATCACAGCAAAACGCTTCAACACAATCTTTTCTTCTTCTGCCCACTGGATTCTCAACGCAATTAAATTCTTCCCTGGTTATTAACTCATTTCAATAGACATTAATGACGATTGTTTTCACCCATCGATTTCCAATAACAATCAAATCGCCAATTAATGCCTATCTTTTTTGTCACTCTAAGAAATCGCTGTCCACTGATACCTGATACGTACTTTAGCGCCTTTCGGCAGATTCCACGATATCGTACCGGTAAATGACGCCTATATCTGTTAGACGATAAGCCACGTTGAGCCTCTTTGGTGAAAATAGAAAACAACGAACAATGGATTGGAACGTATGTTACAGTATATATAGTAGTGCAACTCTCCTGATTTTATGTTGGCCAAAATGAAGTGCGCATGCGTGAAATAAGTAAGTTGCTTTGTTTCTTTTCCTTCTTTTTTTATTGCTCTCTCTCTCTCTCTCCTTCTCTCTCTATTTAAATAAGCGTTTCAATGTTCCCCTTAAATATTTGTCTTTCAAGCATTTTCTATATTTCTTCTTTATTTTTCAATATATTTACAATTTATTTTTATTAATTTTTATAAAGTTTAAATTATTTCATTGCAATATTAGATTTATTCGCATCGCATGCTCTAATATGCTCCAATATGTTCCTTACAATAGCATTTACTCACTTCAGCGAATTCGTTGGATTGCGATGCGAATAAATCTAGTGAGTTTTGCGAGAAATTTTGACAGAGTGGAAAAAGGATGAAAAGAGAAAGAAGTTTAGGTAATCATGACAACGGTGGGTAACTTATTTATTTCACGCATGCGCACTTCATTTTGGCCAATACTAAATCAAAGATATCGACAGAGAATTTTGCTACTATATATATATATATATATATACACTGTCCTAGACAAGTGCCTTGTTTGCCTATGCGTTAATCCATCATTGATGACATAGCACCCGAGTGGAAATTAGAACTTGTCCCTGCATATTCTAGGGGATTACACCGAAAGTGATAAGCCGCGATTTTGAATTTCCGAAGCTAAATTCGTGTGATGTCTGAATAGCACGAAATTTAAATTTATCATACTTATATCTATAAGATTTTTTATCGTCTTATTTTTAAGGTAATCTTAAGATGACATTAAGCGACTACAGAGACGTATTCTCATCTTAAGATATAACTTATAAATAATCTTAATATAAGAATTGACTAATATTGTTCAAAAGTATCGAAAAATCTTTTTAAAAAAATAATATAAATTTTGATTTAAAAAATAAAAAAAGACAATTTTTCAAGAATACATTTCAAGGGACATTCCCTTTTTTTTGTTCCGCTTTTATCTAATTTTCTAAGAAAAAACTAAATAAATATAAAAATTTCATGCAAATAAAATATAAGATATATTATTAATATTTTTCTTTTGTTTCAGATTTTAGATTCACTGAATCAATCGATTATTCACGCAATAAAAAACAATGTCTATTTCTTCATATACACTTCACTCTTTATTTTCATTTGACTATAATAACTTGAACTCTTTATACACTCTCATAGCCTAAGTACATGTAAATATAATAACAGAAATTAACATCATAAAATTCATCATATATTTATGTTTACAGATTTCGCTACCGTAAATTCGTGGAATGATCACGTATTTGTCAATTCTCGCAATTCCGTTGACATATTTTCAGATAGCGAATGATTTTTGTAAAATCTTATTGGATATCATGCGTACTTTCCCATTAAATCGCAAAAAGTACGAGTTTTCACATGATATGCAAAGCGATATTCTGCACGCACAAAATTTGTAAATAAATCAATAATTATTTCCTATATGAAAAATCGATATTATAATCGAAAACGTATCATGAATTATGTCGCTTAATTGTTATCCCAAAACCACGAATTGCAATAAAATATGCTGCGCGATTTGTCATATGATATAAATCCTTTTCCAAAGTGTGAATTAACTTTTAACATTAAACAACATTAGAAGTCATGTCGTGAATGAAAAATGTATCACGTATAACTATGATTTTATTCAATAGCATTTCTTCAGATTTCCTAAAGAGAATTTCATTTTGCACAACAGAGATTTAAAAATTGATGTTTGATGCGCACACACATGTTTGTAAAGAACACATCAATCTCGTTTAATTTCTATATTAGAAACAAATACAATTTTTACTTTAAAAATTATACAAGAGTAAATTAAGATACTGTATATGTAACACACGATACATTATATTTAAAATTCAAGACAAGAGAAGCTATTCGATATTTACAATTTAATTTTGGACTTTGAATAATTTCTTAGTAATTTATTATATATATATAAATTTCAAAATTTAAGAGCAAACATGTGTCTGAAAAAATTAATTTGTCGGAGCGCTATGCATATATTTATAAATAATGCAAGGCAATAAATATGTAATAAACAGATACATACGCTTCGGTAAATAATCCACAAATAATTCACGGTCCCTCTGTACTGTCAATATATTAAGATATATTACACAAATTAGCTAACGAAGATTTATCGATATTCGGAAACACACTCCTGCATGAGCTTACACAGATTTACATTAGTGGAAGTCAGAAATCCGATCTACTACTACCGTCGTTCGATTCTTTAAAACGTTAAAACGTAAAATTCGGTCAAGTTCTTAACGTGCGACGTAAATTTAGTCGGTCTTCAGATGAACGACCAACGTTTCCCATTTGTTAAGTTCATACAGGAATTCATTCTCGCTTGTAAACGCATTTTTCGTGTAAATTATGCGCAAATCGGAAATTCCAGTAGACGATCAGTAATGTCCGTATACGGTACATTATCATGGTACATTCTTTCTCCGTAAACGCTGAGGCGTAAAACATTACAAGTAACTTAATGAATGAGGCATTTAAAAGAGTTCTTCAATTTGTCAATTTCCCTTAAGTGGAATACCATGCTGCATCGTATCAATGTACGGATTTAATGTACAATATTGATATCTGTACATATATAGTTCAAGGAACTTTTCTTACGCAATGTACAAGTGATGTATAGATTCATAAAATATTCCATGTACATCAATTTCAATATATATATATATATATATATATATATATATATATATACACACACATACACACACGTTTATGTATATATATGTATATATGTATATGTATATGTTTTGTGGACTTGTGATGCATATAACATTTTAAAATTTTAGGCACATCGAGCACACAACAATAATATACGTACACAATGAGTCTTAGTTATAGGAGCATGGTAACTTTTTGTGTGTATATATTTTTTCAATATAATTAATAGTATACAAACTAAACACAGCAGCAGTTTTATGATTTACTTAAATCATAACACAGCAGAACTTGTATATATTATTGTATATATTTATGTAATATCTATATATATATATATATGTATATATCATTATGAGTAATTAACACTTTATAAAATATTTATTCTATTTTTTTTTAATCTAAAAATATTTATATAGATTTGATTACTGCAAATATAGTAACATTAATATACGTTTTTACCGTATTTGACGTTTTGTACTACGAATATATTCGAAAACCGATCATTCTCAAAGTTGTTGAATGAATTCTGTACAACAAATAATAACAATATTCATCGAGAATTAATTATCAAAGATATTCATAACTGTCTTATATATAAAAAAATCAAAAGTATTCCGCAACATCTTATTACATCAGATTTCATATTTTTATAATTATTATACCTATATAGGACTCTTTTATATACTTTCGTTATATTTAGTCTATCAATATTTTTAAGTTCACTTGATATCATTTGAAGTGCATGTGCATGCATTGTACATGCATTTTATATATGAATCTTTTAAATAAGGATCTTTATCATTACGCGTTTGCAGATTTAAAAATTAACAATCTCTCGTTGCCACTAATAAAATTTATATTATACAATTTTCTGTATATATTACTGTAACAGTATAATCATTGTATCTATAGTGATCATGCGTTTTCATCAGTGCAATAAAACAATTAATGTGGCATCAAATTATTGTACTGTGATGTGATTATGCAAAAAATTATTAACTTTTATATTATGTAATACGAGACAGTATGACAAAGCTAAAAATTTTGGTTTTTGGACATGTCTTACACGGTACATTATGTGTATCTATAGCGATAATATGTATCTCGTGTGTTTTCAATAGCAACAATAAACTTTAGCATATTTTGTATACGTTCCCTGTAAAAAATTCTGATTTTTTAATCAGATTAGTGATTCATAAAATATTTCATCTCAATCTCAATATATATTTAAAAATTATATAGTTGATAATGTATATGCTCCGATAACTAAGGCAAAATTATGTACACGTGTATAAATATGCTCCGTAGATCAAGAATCTACAAATATATATAGATTTACTTATTTTATGTATAGATATATATATATATATATAT